ATCCTTTGAATAAGGGCACAGCAAACGATAAGAAGCATCAACCTAAAAAGACCGTGCCATGCATGTTGTTCAATATGTTTTAACCACTGTTTGGCAATCAAATCAGTTTAGAGTGGATTCGGGAACAGACTGATTTGAAATTCATGGTGTCAATAGGATACATGATCATAGACTTCGCCTCAAAACAAAGCTAACATTTTGGAAACAAAAGATGTGGAGGAGGAAAGCACCTAACAGCAAAGAAAAAGGAAAGGATGTAATAAATATCTTCTGGAAGTCAGATAAGAGGTCTCCCTGCTGTGTTTAATGCACCTCAGAAGACAGCTTCTATCATTTCAACTGAGATGGTATGTCTTTTATATTTCTGGTTTCTAAATCCAATGCAGTGTGAATAATTTCTCCCACAAAAGGTCGACCTCCTCTGCTAGACGAAGCTTTTAAGTCAAAGTACAGAGGACCTAAACTCCCAAACATAAAACAGATAATAAAAACATACTATCTGCCTTTTTTCTTGGTTTTTCGTCTTACTCCCTTCTCATAATCATGATTGCTTCCTGATTAGGCTCTTTTAATATCCGTCCCAGTGGGGTGCCGTTTCCAGGGATACAGCATAGGCTGCAGCACGGCATGTGGCTAACTGTTACAGCAAAGACGTCCCCAGGTGATTTTTCATTAACTGGCCATAAAGGAGGCTCTGCATGGAGCCATTACAAGTGGCCTCAGATCTTCTCCACAGAGCACTCTGAGGTACCAGCCAGAAAGAAAAAAAGAGCCAGTGAGGCAGGGAGGGAAATGTGGAGGCAATATTGTGTCTCTAAAGTATAGTCAAAGTAATTGGGTTTCTTTGTGTTTGTGTATTTGCAATTTTTTGCCTGTTTTCTCCCAGTCCAGAGTGTTTGAAACACTGCAGTCCTCGTCAGCGCTAACCCGGCTGCAGACAGACATGTGCTACCTCCATGACATGTAGTGCAGCCAGCCGCTTCTTTTCACCTCGACCCCGACGGCTCCCCACCCGCAAACACAGCCAATTATGTTTGCAGGTACACACAACCGATCTGGAGGTACTGCGTCTGGGAACTGTACCCCGTTAAAATTTAAATCACTCGGTGTGTGTATGTGTGTGCGTGTGTGTGCGTGTGTGTGTGTGTGTGTGTGTGTGTGTGTGTGTGTGTCTGGCATGTAATGAAACTCTAACACTCATCATTTATACTTGCAAATGTCCAACATTCAGATCTTGATCCAGTCATTATGTAGACAGTGGTTAGTGTGGCTGTTTTCTATATTTTTCTACTGTCTACATTAGGATGTAGCACACCGTTGATCCTGAGTGAGCCAGCCATCTATCAGTACAATATACTGCAGCCTGACAGAGAACTACACGGCGCATTTGTCATGAAAAATGGCAAACAGTTCAGACAGATATATGAGATAGAGACTATTACACAGGGCGATCAGCACCAGAATTCTTAATGGATCATTCTCAGTTTTCTAATGAGTCCCATCACACTTGCTTAAGTTCATTTGTGATATGCAATAAAATATGATTGACGATGTAACACTAACAATGATGTAACTGTAGAAATACACATAACTCTGTGACTATGTTTATCCAAATTGCCATACAAAATGCTACGAGTGCAAAAACTGAAACTGTAACAGATGCCATGCTCTGCCCAGTGGTGTATTATTTGCAGAGACATATAGTACAATTCATGAGGACAGCAAAAATGATATTCCTTGCCATCCATATAGTTTCATGACATTGTTTTTCTAATATGTTAGAGGGTGGACCAGGGTGTAAAGTGATCATCCTTCACCCAGAAGAAGCTATCCCTGATCTCTGATGTCACTGTGTATTATGCTGATTATTGATGCAAGTTTATTTGATGATATTTCCATGTGTGTCGCCTATAGATTTCTCAGGCTGCGCTCCTCGGACATAGTAGCAGCAGCTCTCAATCCTGCTCCTCTGTACCCAGTCCTGCTGGTTTCATGTCTCACCAGGTAGTTAATTGCAGTCACTTGGTGTCTGAGGTATAAAACACTCCCTGATTAGACAGCAGCAATGAACACCAGAGTGGCTCTGTGTCCCGACACTGAGGATTGACAACCACTGGGCCTGGATGAGACATGAACATGGTTGTTTTCTTACTTGTGAAACATCATTTTCACAAGTAAGCATTTTTATCATCAATACTTTAAAAGATTTTTGTCAAAAAAAACAGCATTTCTCTTAGATATAAAAGTTCATTCAGGGATATTCAATACTAGATCACAAAGTGTCAGAAATTCCAGCTTAAACTTATTTTTTCCACATTGTCATTGGTCAGGGAATGTGATTTCCACTGCCAGATTTCTCCTGGAGAAAGCCAAATTCTTGTCCAGGTGTACATGTGACTGGGTTTCTAATTTGCTTTATTACAAGTTATTGTGAGGAAGTTAGTTATATCAGCAGTGTATAACTGAGTGATGGATGTGAATGAAAGCCATGATGTGACAAACTAAACCCAGTGACGTTGATTCAAGTCAGTGAAATTTTAAGTACATTTTTATTTATATCACAAATATCATAAATTTGCCTCAAGGGGCTTACTTGAGCTGTGCATCTACAATTTTCTGCCATCTGTGATAAGTGCTGAATTACCCTTTAAACTCTGCCTTTCTAGAGAGCGGCATAGTTTGCGGTGTTAAGATCAGTTCTGGAGACCTTTGCCTCAAGATTTAGATAACACTTCTAACCTTTGGAGTTAATCAGATTAAACAACAGCTGGTACCCAGAAGGGTACTCGAAATACAAATTGTGTATTTTGAATATTAAAATGCTGTAGCGTACACTTTAGCAGGAAATTTACATAATTCATTTTTTCAATACTAGTCGGTAAGATTCAATCGCTAACCCTCACAACCAGCTGCTTCTGTGTTTCTTCATTAGCACATTATTTATATGCAAGTAAACACCATCCTGTGTCATCCAGAGCAAAGAAATCCAGCTTTCACAATCCAAACATTGTCACTTGTTCAAATGTAGCACTGTTGCTGTTGTTATTTTTTTGTTGGCATTAACATCAAGCACTGCAGGCATAATGGTGTTGTAATGCAAAAGTGTAAAAAACAAGGGTTTTAGAAATATTTCCTATAACATTTAAAAATTATGCAATGCAATTATAAAACACTGCCCTAAAAATAAAGACACTCACTGAATCTACAGTGTTGTGCTGTTACCATCTCACAAGCACTTTTAAAAACAGATTCACTGTTCAGATTCAGTTTTGACACAAAGTTCTCAGCTGGGTGGGTATTTCAGGGGTAAGTCCTCAATGGCCAATGACAGTTTTCAGAGTAACAGCTCAACTGTCCACAAGCGCAACAAGTGGTGCAACTTTTTCTGTTTCTCTCCACCAACTGTGTCAGAACTGAAACTGAAAATATCATCAGCATAAATAAAACTAGAATTAATGCCTCGCCAAGTTGCAGGAAATAAGGTCACAATCTCCCCTTCATAAGTTACAGCATTGAATAATGGCCAGAAGTGTTTTCGCAGAACATTATGATGTCACAGTGACGTTGACCTTTGACCATTTGAATATGAAATGTTATGACTTCATTTTATCCTTATAGACATTTGAGTTAAATGGTGTCATAATTAGTGTATGAATTTGTGAGTTATGGCCAAAAATATGTTTTGTGAGGTCCCAGTGACCTTGGCCTTTGACCTTTGGGCACCAAAATCAAATCAGTTAATACTTGAGTCCAAATGGACATTTGTGCCAAATTTGAAAAGATTCCCTAAAGGCATTACTGAGATATCGCGCTCACGAGAATGGGACGTACGGACAGACGGACGGACAACCCAAAAACATAATGCCTCAGGCTCTGGCTATAGCCGGCACAGAGACATAAAAACTGGCAGCAGATGCAAAAAAAAAAAAAGCTATAGCAAGAACAAAGGAGAAACTTCAATGAGTGAAATGAGAGTGGAGAAAGTTGAAGATACTTTTTAATACTGAAAGTCTGATTTTGCTTTGAGACAGTTTTTAGGTTTCAAATAACTTTTACTCTCTCTCCATAAGACTTGAGAAGCTTTGTTCACTCATATTAAAACAATTCTAATTCCATAGGAATATAGGTTTTTTCCACTCTTACAAATGTTGTTGATATTCAGGTCACTGCTAGAAAGGAGTCAGTTGACTTAAATGACACAAATCACTGAAGCCTGTTTGGATATGAGGTTTAGATAAATGTGTCTCTGTGAGCAACCCTTAAGATTAATGCCCTGTGGCTGCAGAAACACCCAGCTTTTTATCTAAATAAGTACAAGAATATGTAAATAGAATATCTCTCTATAAAAATGGCAGATTCACTACAGTAATATTAAAATATTCAACACTAAATGTACTTAAAATCATACACATAAAAGTAAAAGCATGATGTCCTGTTGTTTTAGTTTTAGGCCATATGCATAAGTATTGATGATAAATATAAAAGGAAAGTAACTGTTTTGAAATACAGTTGAATAAAATTATACTTACAGGTGGAAAGCCAGAGTCAGGTATGTGAATATATTATTAACAACAGTTAGAAAGGAATAAAATCAGGGAAGTGGGCGAGGGACAGGAACAAGGAAGATCACAGGAAAAGGGAAAAGAACATGGGAGAGGAACAAGAAACTAATTATCATGAATTGTGACCTGTTTTCTTCATCATAAATGAGCATTAGCAGGAAGAGGAAAACAAAAAAAGAAGCAGTCAAAGAAAATTAACTGCTGGAAAACAGGACCCTTGGCGTAGTGGGTCAGATGCTGCAGCTGCGATGGCCCATTTATGAAAGGAAAAACTTGGCAAGTAATTCTGTTTTACTTCATCTTAGACTCTTCTGCTAAGTAGGTTTGAGCAGCTTTACAACAGAAACTTGGAGTGTGGATGAAAAAGAATAAGAAAAAGACAATAGTGGCGGAAACTGGGAAACAAAGAGAAAGAGGGAGTAGAGAGAGGAGACTTACTTTAGCAAGTAGTGATAATGCCAGACGTTCTGTGGCTGATTTGAAAACCGCTGTGTGCTGCTTTTTGTAGCGCTCCTCTGTCTTCTTCTCTGTCTGAATACAAACATTCAGCTGTCACACACATGCATACAAATACGGTGATCAGGATATGAACAGTTTTATGTAGGGCTCAAGTAATAACAAAGCTTTGTATTTCAGCCCAGTTAATATCAGGGTATATATATCTCCTCAAGAAGGAGTAAATGAATGACTACAGTATATTGATGGATCTTCCTACCTCATACTGTCCTGGACTTGGGGCCTCTATCGATTCCTTGTTGTGGAAGAAGGAGTTGCGTTGAGCAGAGGAGCCGAAGCCTCCCTTCCTGCTTTGCTCTAAAAATGCCTTTTTAAAACTCTCCTGGGCTAAACCTTGCTCAAACACATTATAGGATCCTGGACCTGGACAGAGTGCAGACAGGGTGATTATTGTGCGTGTTTGTGAAGAGTCATTTTTACGTTGTTCTCAATTTAGTGATCTGAGATAAAATGGTAAAGGGCGACATCCTAGAAAATACTTGTGGTACCACCATCCCTCTAACCAGTCAGTTAGTTCTGTCTAAACCTCATGGAAACACAAACATTAGACACATGTAGCGTAGGTGTAACTATGGCTTTGTGTCGTTAGTTTTGGCAGAGTGTGTAGCATTCATGTCGTGTTGGCGTAAAGTGAAAATGATGCCTGTGCCACACCTGTGATACACTAAATTTAATATTGAGATGTTTTTCTGCTATTTTGATTTGTCCCCTCAACAGTAAAGTATCATGTCTGCATGTGTGAACAGATGCTTTAGTGACAGCACGAGAAGAAAATTCTCAAAAACACAGAAGATTAATTCTACATTACTAATAATATTGCGGCCTAGAAAGACGTGCACACTGGGACTTAAGAAAACAGCTGCATCAATATGACAACACAGACAGTGTGCACAATTTATAAACATGGTATAAATACAGAAAACACAAGTTAAAACAGAAATGCAATATGGGGCAGCTGTGGCTCAGGAGATAGAGCAGGTCATCCACTTATCAGAAGGTCAGTGGTTCGATCCCCAGCTCTTGCGTGTCATATTGCCTCTGATGGCTGTTCCATCAGTGTATGAGTGTTTGTATGGGTGTGATGTATATACTGTATGTGTGAGTGAATGGGTGATAGTGGCAAGTAGACTAGAAAAGCTCTATATAAGTGCAGTCCATTTACCAACACAACTGAGAAACACTTGCTGGCAAAAATAAAAATAAATAAATCCAATGGTTTGGATTTTTTTTTTTTTTTTTAAATTGCACTCATCAGAATAAAATTGTAGTTTTCTCAAATTCCACAAGAATCATAAACTGATTGAGAGCAAACTATTTGTATGAAAAGAAAAAAAACTATTAGGCAACAAAATGCAAGTATAGCTTCTGTACCATGTCAAACAATGAAAGACCCTTAAAGGCAGCCACACAATACAAAATTATATTTTAGGAATAAAGTGCATTAACACCTTTCAATTCAGCTCCAAAGCCTGTCAAATGTGTCTTTAGACGTGCACTGAAAAACCAAACTAACATTTCATCTTTCCAGAAAAATCATGGAACATCCTCGAGTCCAGTCGTACTGAGAAATGTTTTGAGAAGAGACTGCAATCACAGATATAAATTAGTGCGGTCTGAAGTCTGAAGAGTGTTTTGACATAAATAGCTGCTGTTCAGTGTAATATGTGCAGTCCCTGCATGAATACATAAACATATAATTTAAGTCTTTATATTATTGATTATCATTCAGGGCTCTTTTTTTAATTTGTAAGATTAAAAACAGATAATAATAACAATTATCAACCTATTTCAGACTTTCAAAGGCTAAATGCATTGGAAACGACTCATGCCTCTACCAAAGAATGGTTCACTCATTGGACAATACAGTGTAAAACACACACACACAAAATGTTAATACAAGCTGCAAAGTAGTGCTTATTTTCTTAATTATAACTTGTTAGATTGAATACAATGGCCATGTCAAGTTCAAATCTGAACTTTTAAAGAATATGGGTTGTTTGAAATCAAAGCGAATGGGATTCAGACTTTAAAACCGCAACTAAAGCTAACAAGCACTGTCCTCAGATATTATAAGGTGAAAATGAACTGTCACTGATGTCTGACAGGCTATGGATAGAGCCGGATCCATTACATTAACACATAAAAGGCAACATTTTCCGCAAGATCTCTGTTAAAGAGAACACTGGACTGCATCTGTAAAATATAGCTATATATGTCAGAGAGGGATATCACTTTGAACAGCATCCGCACAACCCCACACACACGCTGACCTGGTATGGAGCATTTTATGTGGTTAGGAGTGAAGCGCGCTGCGGTTACGCCAAATGGGCTTTTCTTCACTCCTGTTGTCCTCTTCAGCAGCTCCAGGGAACAGCGTGGGTCATTATATACACCAACAGGGGGCGACACTTCTTTCACAGAGCTGAACCTCTAAAGGAGGAGATGAGAGGGAATGAGACGGACAAAGGTTTGCATGAGAGAAGACAGAGAGGAGGGAGGAGAGCGAGTTAGAAAAAAAATGCATCTTAAATCTAGTCCCTTGCACACACTGAAATTGTACAATTTAATGATTAATAGCTCTTTCTGTTGATCCAACTGAGATCAGCACTGTTTTAAAATAAAAATTATCCATTTATTTTGTCTACTCAGTGCCCATCTGGAACACAACAACAAATCCAGCTGTGAATATCTGCTTTGTCCACAGGAACAAAAAATGATGGCGCGCCATGTCTCCAAACTGTCAGAGATACCAAGCAGAGACAGAACTTGACCAAATACAGACATAGACAACATGACTGAAAGTCTGTAACCATGCTGTCTGCACCACTGACTGCTCCTTACACACCAGAAAGCTAAATTAATGGATGCAGCAATTTAGATTTGATATGAGGAAAGGACCTGTTTTTGATTGAATCATGTGTTTAACCTTAATCACCCTTTCCGGACATCTCAGGCTCAGCTTGAAATTGTCAGACTGGGTTCAACTTTGATTAGTCTAAGCTTTTTTTCTCCACCTTCAGCTGTACTTCTGCTCCATTCACCATAACATATACCCCTTGTCTGCCTATCCTCTGTTTTATCCCTTTACATAAATCTCAATGCAGAAACTGGAAAACTCTCCTCAGAAAATTAAAAACTCACTAACTGAGAGAGAAGAGATGAGACAAAAAGAAGGAGCAAGAAAAAAGAGAAAGACAAATGTGAGAGAGTAAGAGGAAAAGAGAGTAAAACGCATACAGACAGAACTAAATGGTAAGACGAGGACAACGAAAATGAGATGGAGTAAACAGCATATTCAACCCAAGGATAATATGCACACAATCAGGTATGTAATGTTCTTTGACTGTTTTGCTGATATCGGAGATGATTCAGTGCTGTAACTGCTTGGCAGCCTCACCTCCAGGGTACAAATGTGTTTATCTGATAGGCTATTATAACAGCACAGACAATCAACGGACCGAAGGAGAAAAGTTGGCTTTTCTGTCAAAATTACTGAAGGTGAACTGTGTTTCAATGTAACTCTAAATTTCTCTTCAGCCTCTCACAATTGAACCATTCAGCTGGCTGTTATTGAACGCAACACAGGCATAAAAAGACCTTTATTCCTTCAAATACAAGCATGACCATGCTAACAATTCCACACACGCGCGTGGATGCATGTGTGTGTATGGAATTGCACGCACGCACTGATGTTTAAATCATAAGAGTGATCTTAAATGTAACCCATTTTTTGGAAACATGCCAATCATTGATTTACACTTTCCATTTAAACAAGATGCAGCCTATGGAAAATTAGTTCTGGGGTAATAGAAATTGTGTTAGTAATGCACAGTTGAATTATTGAGCTTTTAGGCGAAAAGGAGAAATGAGAGGAAGAGAAGAACGAGTGAAGAGGTGTAGCTGGAGGACGAAATGGCCAGAGGAGAGGAAAATGACTGAGAGGGGGGAGTGCCTGGGTTAGAAATGGAGTGAGTGTTTGAGGAGAAGAAAGGACTGTAGCAGGAACTACAAGACATGCGGTTTCAAGGCCGAAACAAACTGAGTTCATTCAAAGTCAGTTGTTGAGCTGGGGTTTGTGACCATCTGTCAGTCCAACTCTGCACCAGTAGTGCTTTGGTAGAGTCTTATTCATGGACAATTTTTTTCCTCTCTAAAACTGACTGACTGAGCATTGTTGGCATTTCACATGAATCTATTCACCCAATCTATTTTGAAGGTGGATTTTTTTTATTTTTTTGGTTATGCTTCCTGTTGTTCCATTTCCAAACACACTTCATAAGAAATGCCAAAGGAATGCTTTTGAAAATTGTGCCCAGAGTCAAAGTGCTCTCAATGCAAGGTGCCTCTGTGGGCACCTCAGTGACAGAATGTCATCACATCTGTTAATGTGGATTAATGAGGCCACAGAGTGATGGAACAGCAGAAGTAATAGAAGTGCCCTCATGCTCTTCTGGCACCAAACAAAACTCCCAACCCCACTCAATGTTAAAGTGATAGTTCGGGTTATTTTACAAGGGGTTGTATGAAGCACTTAGTCAGTAGTTTCAGGTCGGCACCAGCAGTCAGGAGTACTGCCATAGAACCTGAGTGATTTACTGCTGTGGATTTGGACAGCACTAAAAAATGTGTTTTAGCCACCTAAAAAATGCCCATCGAAAAATCAGTGTACACTATATTTTGAATATTTTCACCACTTTATCTTGCCGTCAAACAGCCCTTTGGTTTGGCACTACAATTTCTCAACTGTTGAACTTCCATATTCCTATGTATACGCCACTGTATTATGCTGCATGTCAGCTGTTTGACTCATAAAGGGCTGTTTGACGCCAAGATAAAGTAATAGAAATATTGAAAATATAGAGGACACTTAAACTGATATTGGTTTTTTAAGTGGGCTTTTTTTTTGGTGGCTAAAACACATACTTTCTGCTGTCTCCATCCACAGCGGTACATTGCTCAGCTTCTGTGCCAGTACACTTGGTGCCTCATACAACCCCACATCAAATAACCCAAACTATAACTTTAAGCTGCATTTAGACTGAAAGCAAAGCAAATTTTAGAGGGGACGTGAAAATTTGCTTTGTGTTCAGCCTGGCTGAAAACACCTTTATATCAGTTTCACCCTTTAGGCAAGCTCTCATTGATCATATACTGTAGTATGCTGTATAATATCAATATTTGCCTAACGTTGCACTTCAGTTTCATGTTTTTCTCACCCACATCCTTTATATGTTTATCAGAGCTGAGAGCTGTCATTGCTGGAATTGGCTGAAATGTCATGTTACATTGGAACAACTCTCAGTCACACAAAACTCATTTACTAAACACTGGCTCAGACAGCATCATCACATTTTACATCACAGTGAACATTATTAATGCCTTTCATTTATTTTTATTATTTTGCATTCTCAGGAGGTCAGAGAGCACAGTCAGGATTCATGATTCGGTGTCTTTGAGTTTTGTGAATGGGCCTCATGAGCTCTGGGCATCAAGCTTATTAACTGTTATTTAGAAATCAAATATTTTGATTTATGTATTGATCTTTCACATCACAAGATTTTTATGTAGTTATTGGCTTTTAATGTTGCTCCCAAATCAAGAAGTACAAGTGTTTTCTGTTCATTTTCCATATAAAATGTTAGAGATCAGAGTCAAAAGAAAACTGAAGTGAAACCAGATGTGAATGGGGAGGACAAAGAAGAGTAGAACCATAAGTAAGGACAAAGGAGAGGGAATTGGAAATCAAAGTAGAAGAAAGGGAAGATAGAATGTTAAATGAGGGAAACAAGTTGATTGCAAGCTTTAAAAATATCAGGCAGGGGAGAAGTTTTAAAAAACAAAAGGGAAAAGGGGATTGAGTATAGCAGTGAGGGCAAAGGACATTGAGGAAAAGGTATGTTTTCACAAAGTGTCAGATCAATGCTTTGATATTTGGAAATTGGGAAGTCAAAGGGAGGAGGAAAGGCACGAACTGGAAGATTTCCAGCTGTCTCTCCTATCTTCCCCTCCCTCCCTCCTTCATTTACTCCCTCCTTCCCCCATTTCCTCTCCATCCCTCCACAGGCGAACAGTGTCAGATGGAACCGGAACCACAGGGAAACGAAGATCTAAGAAAACTGACGCTCTTAGTTCTGCATTGGAGATGACTTGTGACACGTGGCATCACAGGGTCGACGCACTAACACAGCATGTGGCCAGGGAAATTAGGTCAGAGCAAACTATGACACACACACACACACACACACATGTGCTCCCACACATCAAATAAACCCAACAATCTTGCATCTGTTGTTCTCACCAGGAAACTAGCAAAATGTTTTATGTTTCAGATGTTATTAAGGTAATTTCAGGAAACCTGAGTGTGTGCATGTGTGGTGTGTGTCATGCAAAAATGGGGGTGTGTTAATTTGCATGCATGTCAGCAATACTGGCAAACTTGTCTGTCTGGTGTGTATATCTGTCTGCAGATAAAATTTGCACACGTGTACGTCTGAATTTTTAATGTGTCTGTGTGTGTGAGCATACACCGTCACATTGTGTGCGTGTGTGTCAGAGTGATAATTAAAACATCAGTCAGAGAGTTTCACAGGAGTGAATCTGTGGGGCAGCGCCACAGAGGAGTTCAGCTATTCCTGAGACGTAAAACTACACATTTTCACATCCTTCATCTTCTCTCCTCTGAGCCTCTTAATAAACTCATCTTCACCCTCATCTGAAGAAATCTTCCACTCTCAACACATCAATTAAACAAGCAAAGCCTGACTCAGTGTCTTGGATCTGTAACTTAATCTTAAATATTCCATATTAACATCCAGCCTCCTTTGAGAAATTGTAAATTTAATATATTTGTCTCCTATAAATTATGTCTGAGAAATCTTTTCAATATGGTCTGATTGTTTACTCTGCCTGAGAGCATTATGTAGAGTCATGTATAAGCTAAAGAAGTTGAATTAGTTTTTACTCTGAATAGTAGAGTATCCGCTGGAGCTATGAGAGCTATGGGGTCACAGGAGTGTTTGGTTTGGGAGGAGACAAAGTGTGGTTTACTGTAGTGCTGTGCAGGGCCATTTCTATAACACATATTGTATATGCTGAAGTTCCTGCAGATACACATAACAACACTGTAATCACTAATATTTTGTTTTGGAATTACATGAAGAGAGTTCAGATGACAAGTGTGGTAATGCAGTCAAAAGATAGGATCATGTCACGAACACCTTTAGTGCTGCTAAGAGACAGCTAACTACTGCATTAGTACTCTAAAGTATCTACGTGCAGTTACAAACCTACATCTTGTTGCCCTGCCCTCAAGTGGCTAAAAAAATCAGCTGAAGCAGGTTTAAACAAAGAGCTGAGCTACATAAACTACCCAGGGTTCACTTTTCAACCAGTATGGGGGCTTCTAGTCCTCATAACTACGTAGGAAAAACACTAGTTTTTAATATTTATATAAGGTTATACTTGTTTATAGGTAATTATATAGTGTTTAATTACAACAATATTTCTGATGTTATGATTTAGATTTGTAAAATGTAGTAATATGACATCGGCCAGTAAAACATGACATACAGAGCAGCTCTACTGTCAAGCTTGACTCACATTCTTGTGTCACAACAATGAAATTTGAGTCAGACCCTGCTGAATGTACACAGATATTGAATCAATGCAATAGGAAGGCAAAAACAAAAACACAAAAAAGTGAAATAGACCCTGGTGGACAAAAGCAGCTCTAAAATTGCTTGAGAAAGAAACTGCTCTACACAGTACAACATGATTCACCTGAAAATGCACCCACAAGGCTACACGCAGAGCAGTGAATGGCTTTACTTTGAACTTTGCCTAATTCTGTTTGCACTGTACCTCAGTCTGAGAAAGGAAGGGGCAAGTAAATTTCGGCAGGCTTCCACTGGACTTCACAGGCTTCTCAAACTGACTTCTGATGTGGTACTGGCCCGGCCCCGGAACTCCCTGATGGGAAGGCAGCGAGAGAGAAAATATACAATAAATCAAGTGTAATATTTGTATTGAGATGAAGTTACATGCTTTGGTAATATTGCTTTTCATGTGTTAGTGCCAATTAGAAGATCAGAAGTGATTTGAAGAGCTTTAATTTCTTTCTGTTTTTGAGATAAACGAAGGGCACAGGGAGGTGAGCATTGAAAAATAAAGCAATGTCAGAGATGTGTGAGCAAATGCTGAAAACACACAGAGAATTCACCGTAAGAAGAAGCTTTTTTTCCCTCTCTACTCTGCAATTATGTCATTTATGTTAAAAAAAACTGTCAGACTGGAAGAAAAAAAATCCACATTCTCTTGTGTAGAGCCAGGACATTTTTGTATTTGTGGTAAACCCACAGGGTTTCTGGGCCAGAGGTAGTTAAACTAGGGCTGCAGTAAAACAGCATGGATATGGAGGTGGGGGGAAGGGAGTGAAAGTTTTAAGGTAAAAAATCATAGATCCAGTGTTAGACAGTTGTGCCAACTTTCTTTTTTTTTTCTTCTTTTCTTTTTTCCCCTGTGGGAGCAGTGCTACTTCTAAAAATAACAGGAGCTGTATACATCATCCACAATGTCAACATGGAATTCACAACATTGTAGAGATGAACTGACAGTGAACTTCATATTTATAGGGTCATATCAAGCATTGCATTGGTACAACTTCATGTGTTTTGCACGATAATGGTTTGTTTAGGTGGTTTTCTCCCTAGATGTCCTTGCCATGTCAACATGCCACGACACCAAGAGCCCCAAGCCATTAGAGGCAGACTGTCTGCTGATCTCTAGGAAGTAAAGGTGTTTGTCCTGAGTGTTTCCACTGTGGGTAATGACCCATCTGGACAGGGTACATGTGTGTGGGAGTACATGTCTGTTGAGGTACTAATGATGAAGGATGGAGGTGCAGCCATGATGTTAGGGGGTCCAAATATAGCATGGTGTACACATAAAAGTATATACTGAGGGCAAAGTTATTGATTCAAAGTCACAGGATAAATTATTGTGTTTTTAGTCATTTTAGTAGCCATATATTCTATAAATAGAGGCAGAACAGATGCAATAAAATGTCATGTATGATGAACTACGTACAAGCAAATGAACAAAAATCTAAAATAGAGGAGGGACAGCAGAGCAAAAAGGAGAGGACGAGAAGAGAGAAAGGTGTAGGTGCACGTCCTTGACAGCAGCGATGCATTCATCTCTCTCTCCACAAATCCAGTCCCACATTTCTAGACTCCTGGCTGACTCAAGTTCATATGCAGGTGAGTAACTCCCCTCAAATCAACCGGCTTCAGTGTGTGTGTGTGTGTGTGTGTGCGTGTGTGTGTGTGGTTGCCAGACCGTGTTTAAAGCTTGTGTTCTACTGCCCTCTATGGGTGAACAGATAAACTGATGGATCAGAATCATTGAGGGGGGAAGGGGGGGGTGTTGAATCATTTCATGTTAAATCAACTGTACTTGAATAAATCCAGAATAAATCCAGAGTACTTACCCTGACTTTGCTCTCACTGTATATCACAGTGCTCTCTTATAATTCATTTTCAACTTGGAGTTTTCAAATCCTATTGTGTTAAAAATCTATCTGAATCAACAAGCTATTTAACTGCATTAGAATATAGTTGGTCCTAATTGTTACAAAGTGGTTTACAAAAACAAATATAACCAGTTTGAGGCAAATAAAATGAGAATAAGACCAAATGAAAGACTATGACAAAAGAACATGAGCACAGAGGAAGTAAAACAATAAAATGAGTAAGATCAAATAAAGAACAATAAAACACAATAAATAAAAGCCTATGTCAAGCATTTTCAAACGATTTCACAAAGAAAAAAGTGAAAGCATTTAAAAGAAGCTGTAGACTTCATGTGTCTGAGCTCTGTAGGTAGAAAGGTCCATGGTGTGGAGGCTCGAATAGCAAAAGCTCAGTCACCCTTTGTCACAAACTGTGATTTGGGAATAACCAGCAAGGCTCCATCCATAGATCTCAATGGTCGAGAGGGCACATACAAGGTCAATAAATCAGAGGTACTTAAGAGCAAAGCAGTTTAAGGCCTTAAAAGTGAGCACTAAAATTTTAAAATCAATTCGAAATTTAACAGGGAGCCAGTGAAGTGAGGCAAGCACAGGAGTAATATGATCATGGCTTTGTCCAGGTTATGAGTCGAGCAGCAGCTTTTGTACCAGCTGGAGACGGAGGAGGGAGCTCTAGCTGATACTCCAGTAAAGTGCTTTGCAATAATCAAGCCAAGAACAGATAAAACCATGTATAACTTTTTGTAAATCAGTAATAGATAAAAAATTTCCTATATTTTGAGATTATCTTGAGCTGGGAGACAACATTTCTGACTTTATCATCAAAATAGAGGTTTGCATCAAATATTGGCCCCAAATTCCTAGCAACTTGCTTAATATTTTTTGACAAACCACCAGGATTAGCACCAACAGAGCTGATGGAATTAGGGGAACCGAACAGAATATCTTCAGACTTATTGCTGCTAAATTTAAGAAAAGATTAAGAGAAATGTGCTAGACTGCTAGGATCTGTGGATTTTAACACATGTATAAGTACATCATGACTTTGAGTGACCTCGACAAGAGGCAGAATGTATGTAGAAAACAAAAGGGGGCCAAGAACGTAACCTGCCCCTTCACTACCAACTACCTTGTGAATATAAGTGAGCATTTAGCAATGACAGAGCAACATGCAGATATTAGAAGAGTTGGTTGGGACCCAAAACAGAGCTAAATGGAGACTGACTCTTGTTCTTACATTCATCAGGTAAACATTACTCAGAATCAATGTTAATGTAGCTCTGTGTCTGTTTCATATTATCTACATTGATACAAACACCCACTAACGCAAACACATACTCACCTTCTTTTCCTCTTGGCTGGGCACCAGTTCATAGTAGCGAGGGATGATAAGTTCAGCTCTGCCTTTCTGTTCCTTTTTAAGATTTATGTTTTCATAGTGTGTTTCTGGGACTCTGAGAGAGACAGAGACAATGTCTTTGAGAGCAGAAGACACAGACAAACAAATAGACAAGATAAAAAACGAAACAAAAAAGGGACAGAGCAGTGGGTTTAAAACCACACAAAGCCAAATAGAGAAGGAGGAATGGGGAGAGACAATTAAACTGCATGAGAGGGGAAGAGAGATATATGATGGAAAGGTACATAAGAAGAAATAAAGAAAAACCAAAGCGTAGAGGGCAAGAGAGAGAAGGAATGAACAAGAGATGGAGGAGTAAAGGGGATAAAAGAAGAAAAGACTGAAATAATGGTTCTGTCAGCAACTGCAAAGGGTGTAAAGACAGACATTTCAATCATTTTTAAATGATTCCAATAATCACATGTGTATCACAGACACGTTTGTGTGGGTATGTAAATGTTTGCCTGCACTTATGTGTACATGGCATGATTGCTCACACATACACCTCCCCTTTTATTGCTCAGTCGATTCCTTCATGAGTAGCTGAACTTGGTGTGTGTGCCCACCAGTTTAGAAGTGCTGACTAAGCTCCATCCTCCATCAATAGAAACACAATGCGAGAAATGTCAAACATAATGCCCTAGATGTAGGAGCAAAGCAATATTTCACTTTGGTGCAACAGTTTCTCTGTTCTCTCTGCCATGGTTCAAGAACAGCGTACTTCTGAGATTAGCTGTCCTGGAGCATTGAGTCTAACCAACCTTTTGGCTCGTTATTCATGCTTCAAAAGTTTTTTATTATAGTAGATTAACTGTTTCCATATGAGATATTCAAACTTAAGAAAAATAATACTGTACTACATCAACCTTTAAGGAGTTGCCCCCAAATTGTTTAGATTAAATCAAACTTAAGTAGTAACAGTTTAAAGTAATAGTTTGACATTTTGGGGAATGTGCTTATTTGATTTTTGCCGAAAGTGAGATGAGGACATCCACTTTTATGTCAATAGTGTAAATATTAGCTTCACACCATAGCTAATATTAGCTTAGCTTAACAAAAAGACTGGAAAAGAGGAGAAACAGCTAGCCTGACTCTTTCCAAAGGAAGTCACTGCAGCCAGCTACCTGGCTTAGCTATTTCCCCATGATTCCAGTCTATCCAGCTAATTTAAGCTAAGCGGCTCTTGGCTGTATCCTTACTGTGTATTTACTGTACAAATATGAAAGTAGTGTTGATCTTCTCATCTGATTTTCAGCAAAAATATCTAATTAGCATCAAACTACAGCTTTGACACTGCGATGCAGTGACTATAAATGTTCATATTCGACTGGTACTGAAAAATCATTAATTTCTGTAACATGACAAGTGATACTCACATCTCAGGGTAATATTGTCCTGGACCTGGTCCCACCTCCACTGTCACCTCATCTCTCTTTCCTGTCATGTTGCCAAAATGGACCCCTTTATACTTCTGTGCAGAACTCATCTCTGACTGGAGAAAGAGAAAGAGAAGGAGAGAGACCAGAATGACAAAAGAGTGGAGGTGAAGAGTGGATGAAAGAAAAGATTGGCCAGAAAGAAAGAGATAAAGAGGACGAGAGGGTAGGGGAGAGAAAGAGATAACAAGATGATAAATGGATGAACAAAGAAGTAGAAAATAGAATTGACTCATTCACACTTATCTGCTTTCTCTTCCGGCCAGGGCTCATGAAGTTCGGGCTGAATGAAATGTGAAGTTCAGCCAAATGCCAAAATATGTCAGAGATCTAGGGGAGACCCTCCATCCTTTCTTATCTCTCCAAGTTTTAGAGCCTGGTTCCTCTGCCTCCGGCCACTGCTTAACAACTGAGAGAGGCTATGTCTGGAAATGAGCTGGCCAGCTGTGTCCAAACACATTTTAGAGCAGGGGTCTCCAACTTTTTTTACTCTGACAAAATATAAGAGGCTTAGAGAATTGAACATATAACAAGTAATTAAATATCAATATCCAAAACTCACAATGTGTACCAAAAACAGCTGAAACTCACAGAAGTATCCATTTTTGTGTCAAAAATCTGAGTCATAATTCAGTCAAACCTTAATACACAAACATCATAACACCACTGCAAATTAACGACCATAAATCAAGAAATCAGAGAAAAAAGAAGCTCCTTAGTCAGTAATCTAGTTATAGTTGTCAGTACATCCAATGGTACATAACAAACAGGAACTTAAAATAGCTAATTCGGTACACTTAATTTTTCAAAATGTAAACAAAAAGGGGCAAAAAATAAGAAAAAAAAAGACAGGGCTCAATCTGAAGTCCAACAGCTTCCTGTTGGAAATGTTGTTTATATCTCCTGTTATCCAGAAGAACTGCTCTCACTGCATGTCGCCTACAGCATATCTGATGTAAACAAATTCATTTGACTGACAACTGACAAATAATTATTTGGTGTTGAAGGGGGTTGGGTATGCATGGGTATGTATGAAGTTTGTACTATGCATTCATGGTTTGTACAGACTATATTCTGTGAACCTTTGGGTGAGCTCCTCTAAAGTAGGGGGCTGAGCTACTGGTTGCTCTTAAGTCAACATGCTAACACGATCACAGTGACAATGCTAAAATGATGATGTTTTGCAGGTATATTTACTACAGGGGTCCCCAAACTACGGCCCACGGGCCACATCCGGCCCGCCAAAGCAATTGGAGTGGCCCACTTAACGATCCCAGACAATCCCTCTAAACATCAACCAATTTTTATTAAATTGCATTTTCCTATCATAACATCATAACATATCCGTACTTAAAGGTTGGCATTGTAATTAAAATTGACCATAGTTATGAGCTATTTATAGTTAATAGTGGCTCATCTTCACCTCCTCACACAATGGTATATTCTGACGTGACTTTGATCGTGACCGAGCCAGCGTCAAGCTGCAAAGTACTGAGGTGGGAATCTGTCATGAAGGTGGTTGTGTCCTGCATAAACTTCATCAGAGCAAACGGACTTAAACACAGGCAGTTCCAAGCCTTTCTCTCCGAGCTAGAATCAGCCCACGGAGACGTGCTTTACCACACTGAAGTCCGCTGGTTAAGCCGGGGCAGAGTTTTGAAGCGTTTTTACGACCTGCTACCCGAAATCAATGCCTTTCTCCTGACAAAGGGAAAAACTGTCCCAGAGCTGATTGACACAGAATGGAAATGGGACCTCGCCTTTATTAACAGATGTGTCAGAAATTTTAAACGGCCTCAACTTGCAGCTCCAAGGCAAGGGAAAACTAATCTGACATGTATTCCCACATCAAAGTATTTGATCTTAAACTAGCGCTGCTTATTGGACAGGTGCAAAAACAAGACTTCACCCATCTCCCTGCTACTCGAAGCTTCTCAGCTGAGAAACCGGCGGTCCCGTTCCCAACCGAGAAGTGCAAGGACGCACTGGAAACACTGAGGGCGGAGTTCGGTGTGCGGTTCCGTGAGCTTCATGTCCACGTTAAAGAAATCCGCACATTCCAGAACCCTTTTGCTGCCGACATTAACGACACCCTGCCTTCTCTTCAATTTGAGCTGGCTGAGTTGCAGACCTGTGATGTGCTGAAAGACGTATTCAGCCCCAACAGTCTGATCAAGTACTATGCTGCCCTCCCAAATGAGACCTACCCCAACATAAGAAAGCACGCAACAAAGATGTCCACAGTTTTTGGGAGCACATATATCTGTGAGCAAACTTTTTCACACATGAAGCTGATAAAAAATCCGACGAGATCAAGTCTCACAGATCAACACCTGCATCAGTCTCTGAGACTGGCTGTAACTGGAATGGAACCTGACATCGATCTCCTCACCAGTCAGAAGCAAGCCCACAGCTCACACTGATATGGTAAGCCTACTGATTTCAATAGCAATAGATATTAAAAAATGTCATTATAGTAATGCTCTTTTTATAGGCAACATGTTCTACCTGATTCTGACCACTATTCTGTATTAATATTATTTCACTACCTGTAAAGACAGAACACTTACCGTTTGTTAACTCAACTGTACCTGTTACAAAATCACATCACCTCATTCTTACTTGAACATTACCATCAGTTTGTGTTGTTATTTTCTATAAAATAAATGGAGTATCTGTGGTACTTCAAATAAACACATGTGAAGACTTTTTATTACTTTTTTTTGCAAATCAACAGGTGGTGCCAAAGCCAAACGAAGGGCAGCTACAACAAATTATCATTGTAATCTCCACAATAATACTGGTTGTCACCCTGGCCCATATCATTTCCTGTTATAGACTAACCTCGGCCCCCCATCTCAGAAAGGAAAGTTGATGTGGCCCCCACTGAAAAAAGTTTGGGGACCGCTGGTGTGGCACCTCAAGCATATGAGAGATGACCCATGGCGGCCCTTCGGAAGGAGCGACTCAAAGGCTGGGGCTGACATATTTACTCAGCCGGACGAGCTGAGTCCGTAGACACCCAATTTGTGGACTTGTTGACCAAAATTTTTCGTTCACAGCAAGCGGGCTCGGAGGACGTTTAACGAAGCATCCTTCCGAACAGGAGCGACTTAGATGACCCTGGGGCTGACATACTGTTACTCAGCGTGACGAAGCGAGGTCCATAGGACACCAAAAAATTTGTGGCACTTCGAGAAAATTTATTTGGAAATTTATTTAAAACACAGAATTTAACCGTGTCCCCCGGCGCAGCCACTATGACGAGCACGCCCATGGTTGGCCCTTCGGAACGGAGCGACTCAGGAAGGTCTGTGGGGCTGACATATGTTACTCAGCTCGACGCGCTGCCAGCCGAGTCCTAGACACAAACTTGTGGACTTATTGGACAAACTTTTCCGTTGTGAACATTCACACTATCATTAATGGTTGTGGCACCTCGGCATATGAGAGATGACCCTTGGCGGCCCTTCGGAAGGAGCGACTTCAGAAGGCTGGGGGCTGACATATGTTACTCAGCGTGACAAGCCGAGTCCGTAGAACCCAATTTTGTGGACTTTGACAAAATTTTTCTCCGCATCAACGCGGCCTCGGTAGGACAGTTAACGATGATCCCTTCCGAAGGGACGACTTAGAGAGGGCCTGGGCGCTGACATATGTTGACTCAGCGTGACGAGGCCGAGTCCGTAGACACCAAATTTGTGGACTTTCGAGAAAATTTTTTTGGAAATTATATAAAACACAGTAAATTTAACCGTGCTCCTCCCGGCAGCATATGATATCGAGAAAATTCCTGCCCATGGCCGGCCCTTCGGAGGGAGCGATCAGAAGGCTCGGGGCTTGACTATATGTTTACTCAGCGTGACGAGCCGAGTCCGTTAAGACCACCAAACTTGTAGACTTTGGACAAACTTTATCCGGTTGTGACATTCACAACTAGTCTTAATTGGTGTGGGCACCTCAGCATATGAGAGATGACCCCATGGCGGCCCTCGAGGGAGCGACTCAGAAGGCTGGGCTGATCATATGTTACTCAGTCGTGACCAACGCCCGAGTCCGTAGACACCCATTTGTGTGACTTTTGCACAAAATTTTTCGTTCGCAGCAAGGGACCCGGAAGACGAGAACAGGCATCCCTCCAGGGGGGAGCGACTTAGAAGCCTGGGCTGACATATGTTACTCAGCTGACGCAACCGAGTCTCGTAACAGCGCGATCGATTTTGTGGACTTCGATGAATTAATTTTTGGAATATTATTAAAACACAGAAATTTAACCGTGTCCCCCCGGCAGCATATGAAGACCGCCCATGCGGCCCTTCTGGAAGGGAGCGGACCTCAGAAGGCTGGGGCTACATATGTTACTCAGCGTGACGGACCGAGTCCGATAGACAACCAAACTTGTGGACTATTTGGACAAACTTTTCCGTGTGTGACATTTCCACACTAGTCTTTAATAGAATGGTGTGGCACCTCAGACATTAGAGATGCACGCGGGCTGCCTGCTGCCCCCCGCGGAGCATGGCCATCGCAGGCGCATAGACGGCCGGCGGCGCCGCGCCCCCTCGGATGCGCCGCAAGCAGCTACCGCGCCGCCGGCGCCCAGCAGCGCACCACATTGGGCGAGCTGCGCCGCCGGCCCGCCGCCACCCCCCCCCCCCCCCACCGGCACAGGCATTGCGCCCAGCAAGCAAGCTAGCCCCCCGGCGGCCCGCCAGGCGCCCCCCCCCCCCGGCACAGGCATTGCGCCCAGGCAAGCAGAGCTAACGCCGGCCAGCCGGCGCCCCCCCCCCAATCGGTGGGGCACAGGCCATTGCCCCAGCAAAGCAGAGCTAGCTGGCCCACCGCGCGGCCGCCCCCTCCCCCCCGGCCTGGCATCAGCCCATTAATGCACTAGAAGGCTAAGGCACGGCCCCAGCCGGGCCCCCGCCCCCCCCCCCCCGCGCCACCAGGCATGCCGCTCCAGCAAAGCAGGCCGCGGCCCGCGGCGCGCCCCCCCCCCCCCGGCACAGGCATTGCGCCCAGCAAGCCAGAGCAGCCGCGCTGCCCGCCGGCCCGCCGCGCCCCCCCCGCACAAGCCATTTGCACCAGCACAGCAGAGCTAGCCGCCTCCCGGCCCGCCGGCACCCCCCCCCCCCGGCACTAGGCAATTGTCGCCCAGCAAGCAAGTAGCTAGCGGCCACGCGGCCCGCCGGCCCCCCCCCCCCCTGGCACAGGGATTGCGCCCAGCAAGCCAGAGCTAAGTTCCGCCCGCGGCCCGCCGCCCGCCGCAACCCCCCGGCACAGGCATTGCCGACCCAGCAGCAGAGCTGCCGCCCCGGACGGCCCCGGCCAGCCCCCCCACCTCCCCCGGCACAGGCATTGTGCCCAGCAGCAGAGCTGACGCGGCCCGCCCCGCGGCCACCCCCCACCCGGCCACATGCATCGCCCAGCAAGCAGAGCTAGCATGCTACTATTTGCTAACAAGTAGTAAACATAAAGCGCAGCT